CCCACTTTCACAGCCACAGTGAAATTTTCATAATAAAATACTACCAGAGGGTCATATCAAATCAATATGGATTTGGGGTTGGTGATGCCAGAGTAATTTTGAATGACACTAAGGTTATTCCTTTTGGCTTCCAGGCATCAAGACATCAGAGAGGATTTGGCCGATTCTATTTGTGTCCATGGAGAACAAATTCGGGGGGGAGAGTGTAGCCAGGATAACGGAGAGCAGTAGTAAAGGGCGTAGGTCATAATTGTGAATCACAGCTCCTCCTATTGTTACCCTATAGTGACCACTGAACGAACAACAGTGTTCTTTATATTAAAAATGTGATAGTAGGGGCGCCTGGGTGGCTCAGATGGTTAAGCATCTGCCTTCGGCTTAGGTCATGATCCCAGGGTCCTGGGATCGAGCCCCGCATCAGGCTCCATGCTCTGCAGGAAGCCTGCTTCTCCCTCCTCCACTCCCCCTGCTTGTGTTCCCTCTCTAGCTGTCTCTCTCTCTGTCATATATAAAAAAAAAAAATGTGATAGTAATATCAACATCCTTTCTTAAACTGTATCTCACAGACTGCATGTTCTGCAACACATTACTAAGTACTCAGTGAAAGAATACTAAAGAAAAACCAATGTATTAGGTTTTAAGTTGAGAAATGCTTTGAACAGAGTTGAACCATTTTTGTTTTTTTCACCTCAGGACTTCCCAGAGCCTTTAAATAAGCTCATGTGCACCGTGAATCTCTAGGACATGATTTTAGTAGAGAGCAGCTCTGGGTTTATTTAACCCAGACTCTTTGTCAGAGAGCACCAATTCACATTCCATGCCACACTGGGGAGTGCCCCTACTTGAGAAATAGTACATCTTATGGCATCAGTAATGGGGTGTGTGCGTGTGTGTGTGTGTCTCACTGGCTTAACTGGCACAATCAGGAAGGATACATTGCACAGTACATTTGTTCTTATTGCTACTCTAACAAATCATCACAAACTTAAGTAGCTTCAAACAACACAAACCTAATAACCTCATAGTTCTATGTGTTAGAAGTCTAACAGGGGTTTGTTGGGCTGAAATCAAGGTGTGTTGACAGGGCTGCATTCCCTGCTGGGGGCTCCAGGGGAGAATCTGCTCCTTGCTTTTTCTAGTTTTAGAGGTTTCCCACATTCCTTGGTCCGTTGCCCACTTCCTCCATCTGCAAAGCCCGCAGCGCTGCATCTCTCTGATCGTTCTACTGTACTATCTCCTGCTGGCCACAGACAAGGAAAATTCTCAGTTTTTAAAGATTCATTTTAAAGATCCATGTGATTAGATTAGACCCACTTGGATAGTCCAAGATAATCTCCCCATCTCTACATTGGCAAAATTCCCTTTTGCCATGTAAGGTAATATATTTCAGGGATTAGGGTCTGGACATTTTTGGGAGCCATTATTCTGCCTACCACATATGGGTTGGTAAGAATACCTGAGAGTTCTGGCCAGCAAACAAGGTCAGCGAATAAGAAGGAGAGCAACTCTTCCTATCATTTGTTTTTTCCTAATTATTACTTATCATGGTATTAGGGGAGTTAAAATTATTATCTCATTAAGGGATATAGAACAGTAAACAAAATACGGAACATGTTCCCAAGCACCAAGAATTTGGTTCTGTCTCCACAAGGTAGAGAAGAGAGCACAAGTGCTCTGGGAATCAGATTCTCCACAAACTCATCCAGCAGGCCTCTCAGCGATATGGGCCTGATTCAACTAGGTGTACATTTTCCAGGAAAAGGAACATACCCCTAATCAGCTTTGCTGAAGTTTTCTTTGCCAACGGGCCATGCATTCATTACTGCCTCTGACATAGGCACTGTAATTGTCTCATTTAACCCTCTTTATGGTTTTGTTACCTGACAAGACCTTGCTTCTACCAAACCAGTAAAAAGTACATCATCTGATACCAAAGCCCGAGTTCTTAACCCTACACAATAACTTTGTTCACTTTTGCGTGTGTATGTGTCTATTCATTTTTATGGCCCACCTCTCCCATATGTCTTCCCTTCCCCATCCCCAGCCCGAAGTAAATTCTTTCCTGTCTCTCTCTGATCTGAGGGTCTACACGTGTGGCCCTAAGGGTGTGTGCATGTGCATATGCGTGCACTCAGGAACTCTCTTTCTGTCCCTGGTAGCTTCATGAGGCTTTATGCCTTGCATACCTAACCTGTTTTGATCTGTGATCAGATATGGAGACCTCTGGGTCATAGGCAGGATGCATCACAAGTGCATGCCTTAGAGTCCTATCTAGCTTCAAAACGTGGCTAGGTCATCACCTGGAACTTGGCAAATTATGTGAGCACCATGAACTTTAGTTGCCTCCTCCTGTGAGAGACTGATAATATCTGCTTCAGAGGGTCATTGTAAAGATTAAAAGAGATGATTATGTAAAACATCTGATAGATAATAGTTGCACAGTAAACTGTAGCTGATACTATTATCAACTACCTGTTCTGTTTGCTTACATAAAAGTGCTCTGCAAAGGTCTTGTTGCTATGAAAGATGCTTACTGGCCACATCTATCTTTATCAGTGATATTTGCACAACCAACAAACTCTAGTTTAATTCACACCCTATTGCTAAGGTGTGGTTCAAACCAGTTTTCTTTTCAAGGGCTGTGCCTGCCTGGAGAAAGGGGGCCTGAGACGTCTTGAAATTTGCTAATCACATCTGGTTTAGCTTTAGACATTTTCTGGGGTTTTGCCAGCAGCCACGACATTTTAATGGCTACAATAAACCTCAAAGCCTCATCAAATCTTTGCTGTATGTGTGAAAATTATGTCCTCTTCAATTAAACATTCAATCTAGGCTCACACCAAGGCCTTATGGAAAAGGACGTGGAACCTGAATGGGAAAGGAGATGAAACGGACCGCCACGACTCTGGCCATCTTGCCAGATGGCATTTAGGAGAAAAAGAAATTCATTAGAGAACCAACAGTCTGTATTTTCTTTAAATATTTACTAGGTACCTTTCATGTGTTAAAAACACTGGCATCTCTAAAGATTAGCAGGGCAGTTTTGTTTAAATATCCAATGTGGGGGCAGGGGGCGGAGTCCCACTTCTCCCTCTTGCCTTGTGGTACCTCACATCTTTTGGTGTAGTCCAATCCAAAGAAGAAAAAACTATTGAGGCAATGTTTGGTTTTCCTTCATTTTAAGGGAGGTCCTCCAGCTTCAGAAGTTCTTTCAGTTCCTTAAAATTGACTAAGGACAAGGGTCAGTGGAGTACCGAGAGATGTGGAATGGCACCTGGGATCCCCTTGCAGAAAATAAGGTGCACCAAAGGGGGGAGCCTTTGTGGGAACACCTGCCTCTCTACTGTCCTCCCAATTCACTCTTGTCATCCCTTGGTTATGAATCGCCAAACACTTGCAGACGTCAAAGGGAGGTGGCCCAGCCAGGATGCCTGAGAGAGGCAGCCCCAGGAAGGAAGGCAGGAGAAGAGGAAAGATCCCACGTACATCAGGTTTCTTCTCGAAAAACGCCACAGGAGGGCAAAGGGCCAGGAGACCAAAGGGGATGTGTATTCAGGGGCGGCCGCAGCATGAACCAGCATGACTTTTCCTAGCTGCAGCGAACCTTGCAGCCAGATTGAGGGCCGGCCTGGGCACTAATTCTGCCCCTGGAGAGTGCCAGGAAAAACTGCCACAGGGATGGCTCACACGGTTTTATGACAGTAAGAATCAAGCCCCTCGTCTTAGGCAAGGATACAACCGGCGGTGTTTTAGGAGAGGGCAAAGAATAACTGCAGGTTCATATATCATATTCGTAAACGAAGCATCCACTAGGTTGAATGCATGCTCTTGACCACATCAACGGGAGGGGAAAAGAAAAGCTACGTGTTCCTTTAAAAATAATTTACAAGGTAGAAATATTCACTTGTAACCACTCTCCCTATTTAAGCGAGTTTTATGCCCAAAGTAAAAACTAAATGGCTCTCTCCCTGCCACCAGGAGATCTGTCCCACTTCACTTCCCTTTCCAGGCTGCTCTCTCCGTCTCAGACTTGGATTTCTGAGCACTCTTTCACAATAAACATTTTTAAAATGTTTATTTTATGTCTTAGTGTAAAAATATTCCTGGTTCAAGCTCTTCATTTCCTCAAACTCTCCTTTTGGCACTCTGCGCTCCATTTCCACATTAGCACGCTCCCTAAATCCTCTGTGCAGCTCTACAGTTGGACTTACATAAGGCCCAATGCACGTATTTATATACTTGGATAAGGAGATGTCTCCACAGTGAAAACACAGGACTCGAGCAACGCCAAAGGAAAATTCCTGCTCAAGAGAGACACAGTTTCACCTTTTACAAAAAGCCAGAAAGGGCTGTCAGCATTTTGTTGTGAATAATTAAAAATGTAAATTCAACTAAAATAGACTGCTTACGATGGGTCCTGCCATCTTCATTAGACTCGTATACATAAACCAAGTATATGGGGGGGGGTGTGCACGGGTATGTGTGTACGCATGTGGTATACGTATAAGGCAGCATAGTCAGCTAGCTTAGAAACTGCATGAGTTCTAATCAGATAGGCCTGATGAGAGCCCAGTAAATGGGCCTCTCACGGGCTGTGCGAACCTAACTTCCCTAAACCTCGTTTTTCTCATCTGCAAAATGGAGTTAGTATAGTTCCTGCTTACTAGGGTTGTTGTAATAATTATATGAGACAACAGAAAGCATTCAAGGAAGGGTTGCTGCTGTTATTAGTAAGATGACTATCTGTTACATGTTGGAAAATGTAGATGTAAAAGACGTCGATATAAAAAGCACAAAATAACACTAATAAAAGAAAGGGATATGCAAATACAGTGCCTCCAAATAGAGCATAAGAGATGGAAAGTCTCACGAGGGCTGCAGTGTTACCATAGCTGAGCTCTGCACCAATTCCATCCCGTGAACCAGACGTAAATAATCCTCTTCATTCATTAAAAAAAAAAGCTTAGCTATTATCATAATAACAGAACAGTTCCTGTTACCTTCTAGTTGTCTCTTCAGTTTTCTCAAATCTTTTATGAGGTCTTCAAACTTGACTTGGGAAGCCAGAAAGAAATCTTGTGGTTCAGGCAGAGGGAAAATACTCTTTTCTGTTCCTGCTTCCTAAAAGACACGGTTAACAAAAGTACATTATACTTCCCAACTGTCACTTTCAATTGAAATTCCAAAGCATCTTTTATTGGATGTGCAAATAAGAATCAGAGAAATTCTCCTCTGCTATTCCTAAATTTGGACTGGTTACTCTGAAATGCTTTTGCGTCTTCTACAATATCACTTTGGTCTTACCGCCACTGAGGTTGGCTCTGGCTCTGGCACGGGTTTCGCTCTATTTTGCCTCATGAATCAAAAAGAAAGTTGTCAGGTATGTCCCGATCTTGGACACCCTACTCCCATGGAAAAAGGCACAGGAGGAACACATGAAAGTACTTAAATTTCAAGACCCTGTTGGAGTTTCACATGGTAGCAATCAGCTAACTCATCTTTGGGGTGTGCCAACGGGTGTGAATCAGAAGGTTCTGGACAAGACAGCACTGCAATGGAAGAATCACCCTCCCTCCCTTATGCTGTTACCTACCGGCCACTGCAGCTGAAAGCTCCAGAGGGGTGTCTGTGTGACAGCAAATTCTTCACGTATTTGTAAAGATTTTCCAAATGTTGTTTGGCTTCTCTTAGTAGACACTTGCTGAGGGCATGGTTGGCCATAGTTTTGGACAAGCTCCCCAACTATGCCTAGTAGAGGATCTAAGCTGGGAAATCACTTGAGAGACACAAGCTTCAGGCACATTGAAAGATAAGCTGGGCCTCAAATATCTTTTCCAGTCCAGCCTGCTTTCTCCCTGAGTTGTTTAACATAAGCTCTGCATCTTGCATATCCCAGGCAGTCTTCAGTTCTTCCTCTCTCCACACAGGCTACTTTGCCAGCCCTCCTTCACATTCCATCTTCCCTACTGCCATTAGGACTCATTCCAAACTCCGAAACTGCTTTATAAGGCACTTTATGATCTGGCCTCTGTCTACACCCTCAGCCTTCTTCCATCTTCCCCTATCTCTACCTCCCTCCCCTAAACGTTCATAAAGGAACAGAACAGGCCACAATCTCTTGCATCTGGACTTTTGTCTATAAAACTGTCCCTTTGTAACTCTTCTACACGAACTCTTCATGCTTCCTTGTTCATATTGTTCTTCAAGTCTCGAGACGGATATCACTTCCTCAAAGATTGCCCCTAACCCCCAACACACGGGTGTTTCCAAGAGCCCCTGGTGCATACTGTTATCAAGCACTTACCAACATTCATTTCAAAATTGCTGAGTTAGCTTATGTGTTTCCTCTGCTAGACTACAAACACTGTGAAGGCAGGAAGTGTGTCTTATTCTTGGTACAGCACGCAACGCAACATCAGGCATATCAAACTTTGCTCAGCACCCTTGCGTAGAATCCATAAAAGGCCATTCTGAAAAGTGTGTACCTTTAGCAGGAGACATCTACCTTACTGTCCTACTTTCTTGTGGTTTCAGGAATGCTCTGGACCCGTCCCCTTCCTTTAAGATCTTTAGCTTCACTTGAGATGCTAAGGAAGGGTGGTTTTCCTCATTTTATTGAAACCTTTTACACACTCAGTTTACTTTCCCCCTATCTCCCTATAATTATTTTACTACTTTCAAAACAATGGAAGCAGTACTGTAGTCTGAGCGCCAAGGTGGAACACCATCTACGATGCTTGTCACAGAACTCCACAGCAATCTACACTGGAAGAACTCATGTATATTATCTCCTACTCTTTTCTAAAACTTTATCACATTCAGTCCTGGCTTTTTCTTTTTTTTAAGCTAGAAAATGAGAAAGTGCTGCTGAGCAAATGAGCCTGGTAGCAGCTCTTGAGAAAGCTGCTCAATTGGAATTCAAAAGACATGGCTCTAGATGGATTTCTGTAAACTTCACAGACTTAGACTTGGACCAAAAACCAGGATGCATGGAAGGAGGCTTGGAACAGGAGTCACCTTTCTTCAGCTAATTGCTCATCACCACTAACCACAAAAATCATCACTTACGCTCCTACGGGGAGGGGATAGCTTAATAAATCACATAATTCTATACTCTTGCTGAGTGAAATGAATTTTTGCACTGTAAAAACCGGGAGAGCACGACACACAAACGTTGATTTCTGATTTTTCCTAAACTGGGCCATCCCAGGCTTGAAGCTATTCTTACTGTGAGATTTTCCTCGGTGAAGTCGATTCTACTGTGCTCAGCTCTCTTCGAGAGTCACATTTCATTGGCAAATTTCAGCCCTCTGACACAATGCACTGGACTTGGTTGAGGCAGGCACTGCAAGATACATCTGCTTATGCTAATCCTAGGTTAGAAATGTGACCTCTTGAGATTCTTTGGGATAATTCTTCTGTCACACTGGTACCTGCTGTCAGAACTTCTGGGTATCTACCTATCACCTGAAGCCCACCCCATTCTACCAGAAAAAAGCTCTCACCTCTTTGCACCTAGTTATCTACAGATACCACTCACTGCACTCTTGTTCTACTTACAGTAGATTCAACCTAGTAAGTATTTGTCAGACACCTAAATTACAGACACTAAAAAACAGACAACGATGAGTTCTGGACCTCAAGGAGCAATGCCAAGCTAAGGGGTAATTGCTCACTGATATCTACATGCAAGGTGGAATAAGATGTATCATGACAGAGGTTCAACCCAAGTGCTCCCAGGCTTCAAAGGAGCACAAGATGAGGAAGTAAACAAAGGCTTCATGGAAGAAGGGCCATGTAAGACTGCGCTACTTTTTATCTTTTTTTTCCCTTTTACAAAGTGACTCAGGCTCATTATGTCTAATTGAAAGACAGAAGAAAGTAAAAATCTCTTCCAATCCTACCACCCAGAGATAATCAAACATTTTTACATATATCTGATATTCCAGGTTTTTCTGTGTGTTTATGTATATTTATATATTTGAAATTAGATTATATATTATTTTAAACACATTTGTAATATAAAAGCAGATCAAGAGTATTTTTCAATGTCACTAAATTTTCTCCTATATACTTTCCATGGCAGTATATTATTGCACTTCAGAACGCTAGCATAATTTATTTGACCTTGGTCTCTACCTTTGGACATCTACCAAAAATTTTGCTATACTTTGTTATTACAAATGATTTTAAGTAAAATAGTGATACATGTCCTTATTTATTTCCTTAGGATAAAATTTCCTAGAAAGATTATACATATTTCTAGGGCTTCTGATCTAGAAAGGTCAAAGTCTTGCTAACCCATACTGCACATTTGTATGAATGAGGAAAGGGTGTCCCCTATAAATAGGCACAGCACCCTGGGGAGACAGCTTGACAAGCACATGACAACTTCATGTGAATTTTTTTGAAGGTATCCTTTATAGAACACAGTTTGGTGAGTCAAGGGCAATCATGATATGGGTCCCATTATACCTAGAGATCTTAAACAGAGAATAACTCAGTCAGCCATTCGTGATAGTCCTGAGAAAGATTTGATCCATTTATATTGCTAGCTCTATACACCTAGTTGGCAATTTATGCCTTCTATTTGTTTTTGTTGTTGTTGTTGTTGCTGCTGTCATTGCTGTTGTTTTGGTAAATTACCTGCAGTCTCTTGTGCCACTTTTTTTTTTTTTTAAATGAAAGGAGACCAGTTGTCCTTTCCATGTTGATTCTGAAAAGCATGTTACCTATTATGTTGCAAATATACATATGTTGCTACTGGGAGCTTTTCCCCAAAAGGCCTTTTAATTGATTATTTCAAGAGAGTATTAATAACACAAAACAAAAGATCTATAAAAAGGCTAGTGACAAGGATAGTTCCAGTTAGAACATCAGATGAAAAAACACATCAGTGAGAAAACCATAGGGTGTGTTTGGAAAACACTGGGTCTTGAGTTGGATCACAGAGTATGTGTAGGGGGAAGGTCATAAAAGCATGGTTGTAAAAGACTGGAATTAAATTGGGTAGAGTCTTAATTCACTTTTTGAAAATGGGGATCCATTTCTGTTTTTGCATAAAAAAGTGATACAATATGGCCAGAACTATAAAAACTGGTGGGGCCTCCGGTGTGGGATGGACTGGAGGGGGAGTGATGGATGAGAGGTGGGGAGACCGGCTGGGAAGCAACAGGAATACTCCAGGTGAGTTACCTTAAGGTCTGGATAAGTGGGGCATAGGGATGAAAAACAGGGAAGAAACACAAGAAACAATCTAGCTGAAGGATAGAGGGAAGCCAAAGAGGAGCACGAGCTTCATGCCTGAATGACCAAAACGATAATGTTCTCAGCAGAAACAGAAGTTTGAGGAGGGGGGTGGGAGATGATTCATTGCAGATACACTGAGAAGGGTTAGATAAGGAGGGGAGAAGACAAGATGGTAGACTTCATCAGTGCTTCACTTGTCTTCTGGAGGGAATTATAGGCCTTTGGAAAACAAGGCCCTGGAACCTTTACTTTTCTTCCCGTGGTGCCTAGGAAAAACCCTGCTCGCGTGGACAGCTGTGCAGGAGTCCTGACAACAGTTTCCTGAGACTTTTCCCCTTCATATTGATTGCTAGATTTCCCAACACCTTACAACAGTACCTCTTTCTTTGCAAAGTTAGGACTCCTTGTTCTCAATTTAATGAGAAGAAATAAAACAGAAATTTCTGCTCAGGTGGATTCCCACCGAAATTTTTATTTCTCACTGCAAATGTAATCGAAGCAGAGAGGATGGATTTCAAATTCCATTTCTTCAACTTGTTCACAGATGAACACTACTGATAAGGTATTGGGTATTACTGCCTCTTAATTTCCTAAATTTTGGTCTGCAGCCCAGAACTAATTTCAAATACAACCAATTACTGAATGGATATAGATTTCACAGAGACCCTCACGATCTGGTCAGAAGGCACCCAGACAACCGGGGGTCTCTCTAAAACTGCGTTATATAGCAGATTAAGAGGCAGTAGATTGAGAGGCAATGAATAATGCTTCTCTTTACAAGAGTCAACTAAACTTTCTTGGCTTCAGCGTTCCCATCTGTAAACCAAGGAGGCTGGAGAGCTCTCAAATTCTATGTTGGACTTGAAATCCATCCATCCATCATCCAATTTCTGAATGCCAACAACGTGTAAGAGTTGAAACCCCATTAGTGTAGTTTTCCACATAATTCCATTTCTTACCTGATCATAGTAACGCAGGTAGTATTTCACGACATAGTCAACCAGATTAATCCCATTATCCTAGGTTTAAAAGAGAAGCTTAAATGAAAATCATTCATATGAGACTGCCATATTCTATAGTTGAGTACTGAAATCTCAGTTTGTGACCCTAATACTTTTCATTTGTGATACCTGGTCCTGATTCTGTTTGTGACTGGCAAGATTTTCCTCTCTCCTCTTTGTCCCATCATTTTTTTTTTTTTTAAATGGCATCTATACAAAGAAATGATACTCCGCTATTCTTTGTGGGGGGAGAAAAGCCAAACAGATAATCTATGAGACCTCTGAGGTAATGGCTAAAACAAACAAACAAATACACACACTGTCTCATTATTTTCTGGCAGAAAGCCAAGACAGGGGGGAGTGGGGGAGTGCCAAAGGGAACCAGGGACTAGAACAGAAAACCATCCCTCCCTTCCCACCTTTCAAAAAAATGTGTGTTCTTAATGGCGTGAAAAACAATCAGGACAGCTTAAAAGGAACGCCATGCCACTTTATGACCCTAGGAGGCCAGGGGCAAGCAGGCCCTCCCACAAGGCAGCCTTTGTGTCTTGTTCACATGGGTCTAATTCTAATTTGCCTGTGTGTTTCCCCTCCCTTCACTCCCCCTGCTCCCCGTGGGATGCCTAGATATGGGCTGGTTGTTTCCAAAGAGGGAGCTCTGCAGGGGTGTGGAGCCAAATGATAATCAGGCTCAGAGAGTGTGACAGTAGACCCCCAGCCCAATTGTTGTGGGCAAAAGAATAATTCAAATGCTCAGCTCAACTGGTGATTCAACATTGCTCCCTACTCATGAATGAGTAAATTACAAGTAGTCAACACTAAATTCAAACAGACTCCCAAGCCTTGTGCTCTGACTGATACTGCGTGCTATTTTCTTCCCTCATTACAGTTCAACATCCAACTGTGTTCTTTTAGAGCAAACCAATATTGGGGATTTTGTCATCTCAGTAAGATCAAACATGAGAAACCTATCTTTACTGAAAAGTCAAAAGAAAGCAAAGAAAAAATGTATTGTTAGAGGGAGAAAGGAGATGAATGGAGCAAGCAAGAATTTTTTAATTAAAGGTATAGAAGGAATACAATGGCAAATCATGGAAACTAGTTATGAAAAATAAATACCCGACTTTTGACGTCCTTGAGTTTGGGCAAAATTTCTAAGCTATATCCATCTGCTTGTCCCCGAGTCCTATTTCCTCCATTCATATAATTTCCAAAAGCCAGAATGAGAGCTAAAATATCCTTCACACTCTTCATGTGCAGCAAGCCCTGTGACGGCAAACACGAATTATTACGGAGCTGAACTTCAAAGGCACCTATATTCATTCAACAACAAATATTTACTGAGTACCCATCAGGCTGTTTGGTGGCATCGTGCCAACTGGATTGGCAGCTGGTGAAATGGAAAATACACTTTATTAAGACATAAGAGTCTTAAAAAATACATTAATCAGACATCATTTTCTATCCTTTCAATGAATTATGAACTGTGCATGTCTTAATACTGTGGATTAAATATTAGTATTTATATTTTTACTTCAGCCAGTTTTATTTTTTAAATATTAACTTAAAAATATTTGTGAGTTGCAAAAAGAGTTGCTATAGTCAGACTTTACATTTGGTGACTTCTAAGCAGAAAGGTTTCGTTTACTATCATTTGAGGATCTGTTTTTGGACAATGTATCTATATAAACAGTACAGTTAAATGTAGGATAGCTTTAAGAGCAAGTTCTATTCTATTCTTCTTTATCCCTGGGTATACTCCTAAGAGGTGAACTACAATAATGTATTTCTTTTTTTTTTTTAAGATTTTATTTATTTATTTGAAAGAGAGAGACACAGCGAGAGAGGGAACACAAGCAGGGGGAGTGGGAGAGGGAGAAGCAGGCTTCCCACCAAGCAGGGAGCCCGATGCGGGGCTCGATCCCAGGACCCTGAGATCATGACCTGAGCCGAAGGCAGACGCTTAACGACTGAGCCACCCAGGCGCCCCTATGATAATGTATTTCAAGGCCACAGGCTATGTTTATTAAGTATTAGCTGATATGTCTATCAACCTTAAAAAATTTCAGTAGGGTTTTCTTCACATCCTTATCCCATTTATTTTCCCTTTTTTTCCCTCAAAGTGCAAATTTTTAAAATTGATGCTTCCTCCCCTCCCCTCCCCCTTCTCTAGGGTCTTAGTTGACTTTATTTTCTTTTATCTTAGGGTAAAGAAGGAAAGGCAAATGCAGCTCTAGGCCAACCTCTCTTCCTGCCCTTTAGGATGTTATTAGAGGGTGTATATTATACCTCGGAAGTATTTATACTTTCTTTATTGAAATCTTTTATATTTTGGAAGGTAAAGAATCACGCCTTCAGGTAAGAACTAAATACTACAGTATGTGTGGAGAGGATTATCATGTTCTTAAAGACATGATGTCATTGTGAGAAAAAACAAGTATTAGAATTGGTGTGGTAAAGCCAACAAAAATGTATTTGCCCGCCACCCATTATCATAATCATTTATTTCACTTATCAAGTCTCCAGAATCTTTATTTCACAATGTAGACACATTTCAGATGATCAGGTGCATGGGTCTAACGCAAAAACTCTTGCAACCCAGTCAGTCGAGTAGCAGACAAACTACACTAGTTAGGTTGGTTTTAAGTGGTCAGTATGTACATTAGAAGGTATCTGGAATATCTAAGAAGACATCTATAGAAGTGTCATTTTTTCCTCCTTCTCCCCATCAGTCTGCCTCTGACTTTCTCTCTCTCTCCCTCACTCACCTGCACGCGCACACATACTCACACTTAGGATAATCATCACAGCTATACTTAAAAAAACACACAATCTTAAGTCCAAAAGTTTTTTACAAAGGGACTCCAGTTGATTCTCCCACTCCCTACTTGCTCCTTTACCCTCACTAAGGCAAAACTAGCCTCTTAAATTAGACAGCAAACATACCTTAGAAGCTCTTGTGATGATCTCTACCTTTCGGTGCAAGGAGGAGATACTCTCCGAAAAGACAGATCTGAAGATTATGCACTGGGCCCGTTCAGCAAAATTCGGGATCTGGGCTAACTCATGTAAAAATCTGCAGAAATGAATAATGAATCATCTAGCTTCATATACAATCACAAAATTAAAAAAAAGACAGCTGAAAAAGATCCACCATGACAGCATTCCTTACTTGGTGATATCAATTCAACAATTATAAAATGTATCCAACAGGCACACTTAAGGAACTCCAAGGGTCTGTGTTCTATTATTGACAACAAAGCCATTTTTATTTCTCTTATTATTTTCATGGGTTTCTATGATGGTATATAAATGTATGGTGTATAAGTTACTTTAGGAACAGAAAGTTAATGCAATTATACTGAACCACAACGAGTTATATCCTGCTATGCAAATAGGAGATTAAACCCAAATAAAAGCACTACCTTTAGCGTATGAAAATAAATACATAATGAACTCCCTTTATCATGCAGCATTCTCTAAGGGTCTATTTCACACAGGCAGTCAAGTGAAGGCTGGAAGCAAATGTCTGCAGAGATATGACAAAATATTTCTTCCTGAAGGGAGACGACTACTATTTCTTGCTCACTGAATTAGATAATAGTCTATAGAGATCCTCTTCTACAGATATTTGTTTACTTTTCCACATCAGCTTACCTAGGAAGACAGAGTTCACAGCTCAGCGTGTGGAACAAAGCAGGCACTCATTAAGTGGACATCAATCTTAAAAACTATGGTAAAACAGATTTTTAAAGCTAAAGGTGAGTACTAACCTACACACAGAAGCTCACTGTCTGAGCAACTGGGCACTGGTGCCCTTTGCAAAATTAAGTTGGAAGAGCTACATACTCTCCAGGCCAACCACCAGAAAAGGGGGCATAAACTAAAATGGGCAGAAAGAGTTGGGCATGAATTTTGAGAAGGAGAGAATCCACTAACAGCTATTAAATTCATTTTGGGGCTGAAATGATGAATACCAGATATTTCTGAAAGTCTCGGTCAACGCATAACATCATTACTTTGACATTTTGCAATCTCTCACCAAGAATGCTTTTCCATAGGAGCAAAGCTGAACCCTTCTTTCCATACCCAAAGAAGTCTCCTTAGCTTATACTCTGTGCCTCTTTTACTTTGTTTTAAGGGAGACTTGGGTTTTAATAAGATTCTAATTACCAGCTTTAAAAAAAAAAAAAAGATTATCCTATATCCAGGTCATAAACTTTTTTTTTCTCTTTCCTCTTCCTTTTTTTTTTTTTTTAAAGTAAACTCTACACCCAATGTGGGCCTTGAACTCAAGAACCTGAGATCAAGAGTCGCCTGCTCTACTGACTGAGCCAGCCTCCCTTCTTCTTTTTTTTTCCATGACACTGAGATGAAGCAAGGAATGCCCATAAAAGTAAACATACCTTTGTTTTGAAGTTCTGTAACTCTGATTATTATGAAAACCATGTGATGGGATATAAAAGTGGAAACCCATAGGAATTCTGAGTTAAGATGAGGTTGTGTCCTCAATCTAGGCTACAAAAAGCATGTGTTTGGCCTAATAAAACCTGCTAGAGCCTCACCTCCCCTCACCACCATCCCAAGGCAGAATGCAAAGAGTTGAGGGCCATCCTTGGAGGGAGTGGCTTTCAGACAGCCCGGGCCCAAGCAGATGATACCTCTATGGGAAATGGCATTCTCAGTCTGGCACTGGGCTGCAAGAAAGCTGATGAGGTGAGGGATGGGACCACCCTCTCCATGCTATGATTTATAGGACTGGACATCACAGGGATCTTAGGAAATCACAATGTTGAAACTATAAATGATTCATATTTTCCAGTATGTAAAACATGCTTATAGTCAACTAACTTGGAGCCAATGGCAAGTAAGTTGCCAGGAAATCGGACTCTGGCTAAAATCAAACAAATGCTGCACTATGCAGGAGGTCAAGGGCAAAGGTGAAATGCACTTGGGCTTGAAGCCCCAACCTCTGTGTACCTCACCCTCCAGCAACTGAGCCTGAGCACATCACCTCACCGGGACAACACGACAGTCCTCTTTGCTGTCAGTGATAGCTTAGCATCTTTGGGAAGCCATCGCCATGACGATTTTCAAACTTTGAAAATGCTTCCTTATTCAGGTCATCCCGTAGAGAAAGCAGGAATCATAAATTTATCTGTTAATTACCCGCCACCATTATTCTGTGTCCTGGCAATCAGTCTTCAAAAATAATGCTAGAAAGACATTAACCCTAAAGGAAAAGGGGAACACTTCCAGTAACAGAAACCCACTCTTCATTTCACTGGGTCAGCCACTCCCAGGGCATGGAGCAGGAGGTGGCAAATTATAGCCCACAGGCCAAATTCACTTCCTCATTCGTTTCTGGATGGCCCACCAACTAAGAATGGTTTTTATATTTTTAAGTGGGTGAAAAAGAATCAATAGAAAGATAACATTTTATGATGTCTACACAAATAACATTCAAATTTCAGTGTCCCTAAATAAAATTCCACTGATACACAGTCATGCCCATTTGTTTACATGTTGTCTATGGTTTACGTACTTCCAACAAAGCCTAAAATACTCTATGATCTTTTACGTGAAAGGTATATGAACTCTAGGCTGAGAGATCATTGCTCAGTGTAGCATAGCCAGTACTACCCGAATGCTGGATATGCCCTATTGTCCCTGTTAAGGACTGAATGTTTATGTTCCCCCAAAATTTGTATGTTGAAGTCCTAACCCCCATTGTGATGGTTTAAGGAGGCAGGGCCTTTGGGAGGCAATTAAGTCATGAGCGTTGAGCCCTTATGAGTGAAGTTAGTGCCCTTAGGAGAAGGGACGTAAGAGCTTGCATCCTTCTCTTTGCCTTCTGTCATGTGAGGATAGCAAGAAAAGTTGGCAGTCTGCCTGGAAGAGGGTTCCCACCAAGACCAAACCACAATGGCACCCCAATCTCAGACTTCCAATCTCCAGAACTATGAGAGATAAATTTCTGTTGTTTCTAAGTCACCCTGCTTAGGGTACTTTGTTATAGCAGCCCAAGCTAACTCAAACAGTCTTCAAATACTCCCCATGGCCTTGTCGGTGTCTAAATATCCCAGGATGAGTCACTTCATGTTCAGTCATTAGCACCTTAGTGGGAATTAATTTATTACTAGGAAACATGACCTGGGAGTGGACCACAGGACTGGTCAGGGGCAGGAACTGGTAGGGAGGGTAGCTCAAACTGATGGGCCAGAAGGGCAGCAGAACCCCCTTTGCGCTGATTCACAAGATTCCTAGCCTTCGTGAACTTGGGGCAGGGCGGGGGTGGGGTAGAGAGTGGTTCCTGGCCTCTATTCCATGTGAGAACAATTCATCTAAGGTTCCCAAAATTATCACGAAGGCTTGCCAATAACTGAGTAAACCTAGAAATCCCCCACCCAGTCATTTTATCCAGGCAATCCAAGGGGAGTGGGGCATTCTAGCGGACCCAAGGGCAAGCCATGAAAGTTTCAATACAAGCCACGGAAACTTAGATGTCTCTAGGGCTCACTTGTTGCCCTAAACCTGACTTCTTAATTTCTGCTGTGTTTTCTAACCCCTGCCTCATCTCCAGACTGAGGGGAGTGGCCCGAATTGGACATGAATGAAGCATTCAAGGCGGCGACAGGCAAAGGATCCCTCTCTCCACTCTGGACCCATTCCACATCCTCAGTCCTGGGCCATGAAAATGTAGTTGGGGTCCAGGGGCTACAGAGTCCCATACGCTTATCTGTGGTGTGCAGACCCCAAGAGCCCAGGCAAGGCAAGAGCCACTCCGTTCATCATCAGAGGTCTAGGTTTTCAAAGGCCATGGCTCGACAGCCCAAACCATAAAGCAAACAACTCTAGATGGTGAATAGAGAGAAAAACGAGCAGATGCGAAAAGGATGAAAAGGTCACCTGTCAATTGGGCAGAGCAGGTGGAGGAATTTGGGGGAAAGCCGGCACGTTCAGGCTACGTTTACGGGATACAACATTTAGGAAAATCAATTTGAATTCTGAGTCTGCCATCGTCTTTTTAACTGCATCAGCAGAACCTTAAACAGAGCAATGCCTTCTTCCTTCCTCAGTTACCCTTTTGGCTAGAATGTTTAGTCTAGGAGGAATTAACAAGCTGCTAGAACGAGAAAGGGGAATCATGAGGGGTGGGGAGAGGGGTTCAGACATATTAGATCCAGCAGTACAAATCCCCGGGCTGCCTTTCCCGGCAGCCAGATCATTCATCTGCGTGCAGGAGGTCACGGGGATGATGGTGCTATGACTTAGCTCACTGCACAGTTTAGGAGCGATTACTCAGAGCAGAGAGGCAGGGGGACAGAGATGGTGCTTGTCCTTTCGGCCTAATGGAGAAGTGTTCAAGCGTCCTTACTGCTCAGGTTTATCCAGCAACTTCAATTCTTCTTCTTTGGATGTCTCGTAATACTTCCTTATTTTAACCAGTTCATCCTCTTGTGCTCTCTGGGTTGAGACAGGAAATCAAACAAAGCACACAAAAAATGAACAATAAGCATCTGTCTAAAGCACTGTGTCTCCAAGTGTGGTCTCTGAACCAGCAGCATTGGCATCACCCACCTGTTTCTAGTTAGAAATGCAAATGATTGGCTCTATCCCAGTCATAAGAAGCTGGGGGGGGCGGGGCAACAAGCCCTCCAGGTGATTCTGACGCATGCTAACATTGGAGAACCACTGGCTAAAGCAAATGGTCATACCAAGGGACTGTAGGGGGACCCAGAAGTCAGGACATTGGATTGCCACCTTTGAAGCCCCCGTCTCTTCCCATGTAAGCAGGTTATCAATCCACTGTCCTTAGCATTTGTTTCCTGACCCTTAGAACAGCTCCTCTAACTTATGTATGCTCCTGACTTTTGCATTTCTAGTCTCCACCTTCTCTTTTTCTGAATTTGGTAAACACTCATCTGCACTGCTTCTTTTGGCATTTAGTTACGTCATTTTCTCAATGTATCCAGCTAATGAGTACGGCCCCCATGCACAGACCTGAGCTCACCGGAACAACAAAAAGCACCTAGAAGGCACTCTGCCTTTTACAAAGTCCTTCAATGTCAATTATTGTATCTTTGTATTTCAGATGATCCTACCAAGGCTCATACTGAGTACTGGATAAAGGGCCTGACTCAGAATCTCTTTCTCCCATCACACCACGCTGCCCTCCAGGTACTCCACAAATGTACTGTTAGCTCCCAATGGCCTGGTATTTGTGCACCTTTCTGTCTATTAACAAAAGCTTTACTGATGGAACATGAGAAGTTCCCACCCAGTTGTACTAAACAGCTCCTGATATATATAAAGAATGTGAAAATGTGTAGGGAAGTAGCAATCCCACAAGGTTGGATTATTGCACTCTGGAAATTTTCTATAAGGGACTTAAAGTCCCAGGAGATGTAGCATTGAAATGTATCATTTTTTTTTTTTTAACTTGCTGACTGGGGAATACTCCAGGCAGCTCCCAGGGAAATACTGCTACTTCAATAAAGAGAATCTGGTTCACTCTGTTTTCAAATCCTAACAGTCAATGAATCAGAAATGTTAACAACCATGGGAATTCTAACTCTCCTGTGTCATCCTCTCAAGAGAGCCTGCCAATTCTGCTGGTTATTCCACATATAACCCAAATTTAAAGACCACCTATGTGTACAGTGCTGTGTATTTTCAAAATATATTGCTACTGCTGCCTATATTGAATTCTGTTTAATACAAAAATCAGATAGAGCCCTTTATAATCCCCGTTGTACTGGTGATCAAACAGGCTTAAGGAATTTAACCGGTCCAAAGCTACTCAGCAGTCAACAGTAGAGTGGGACCTCAAATCTAAAATTAACTGACTCTAAATCCAAAGCACACACCTACCATCTTATACTACTTCCCACATTCAATGTCATGAGCTCATCTGATCTGAAAGTAATCATCCAAGCTGGTATTAGTATTCCCATTCCCGAGGAAGCACTGGTGTACACCAACAGTAAGCTGGTAGTTTAGCTTCACTCACTCTGACAGTAAGCCGCAGGGCTGGGTTCCATGGCCTAGAAAGGGTCTCTACCTTGAACCACCCTCCCACGCAAGCGTGCAAAGAGATCTGCTAACCCAAATACCACAGTGGGGTCAGAACCCAGTGCTTTTCTCACATTTGCTCTCATTTGAGTGTATGTTTATAGAAACTATACCTTAATCTCTCCCATGCTATATCAAAATCCTCACGGCCAAAGAACGGGAATGGCTTAACGATTTGGGGGTGGGGCAGAAGGAGTCACATATAACCATCTTTTAGGCCTTAACATTTTTTTATTTAGTGAAGATATAAAAATCTGAAAAAACTGCCTCTGTATGTCTTTGATACTTACATTTTCATATAAGGCTGCCAGAGTCTCCAGATCAACCACAGAGTCATCCACATTGAAAATGGCTGCCAAGCACCCAAAAAGAGAGAGGGAAAAAAAAGATAAGAGGTTTGATTAGACTCCCCTATACTAATGAGCTAGTCACACTCCACGTCTAGCTTCCAGGCAATATAACACTGCACTTCTTTACACAAGTTGTATCTTTCAGCCTGTTCTTGCTCCCTTTCCTTTTGCGCCAGGGGGCCTCTGAAGAAAGAAACCAAAATGGTTCCTATCACTGGCCTGAGCCTTGGCCCTGCCTGGTTTAATTCCTCAAGTTCTGTGTCCTTTCTGCAGTTTAATTTAGGCTCCACAGGAGAAGTGTTTGTGCTTTAAAACTAAATCAGTTTGTAGGTTTGAAGCACAATTTTAAATCTTTCTTCCCGGCTGGTAATTGAAGAGATTTAGTACCTAATGTACCAGAACTGACTCTTGCCCATTACCAGGAAGAGAGAAAAAAAGACAATGTTGGCAAATTAAATGAATTCAGGCATGTGATTTTAGGCACCTTTCCATGGCCACTGCAAACATCTTGTTTGGATTAAAAAGACAAGAAAAAGCAATAATTGCATCAATGGCAAATTAAGATTATGGAAACCTCCCATGAGTTAGTCTTAAGGCAAGTTCACATTCCCATGGTTTTATTAGGATTCTACTTGCTGTTCTGTATCTTTAAGTCATTTAGCTGTTCACTAATATGATTATGATTTCACCTAGGGAGATTCCTTCCCATATATACTGGGATACAAACATTGAGACTGTAAAGCCTTAATGGATTTGGCAATCAAAGTGTTTGAAATAGGCAGCTCCACATCTTTAAATAATTATTCAAAACTAATAAGGTTTGTTCTCTCAACCCCACCTCCCTTCTCTGACTTTACATTGTGAAATTAACCAGCACGCTAGTAAATTTTCTCCGTGGCAGGCTAATTAATTTTATTAAACCAACCAGTGATATTTAGAATGCCTTAAAATTTTGCTCGTCAACCATTATTCTGTTCATTGGCATTACACCATGGTTTTGGAGAAGGTAGAGATCAAGGTAAAGGGCAGTTTCCTTTCAAATTGTTTTGCAGCTTCTGTAGTCGAATCATAAGAACCCCCTTATACAATTTTAACAAAGTTAATTAACTGAGCTAAGATCATGTAACTTCACAGAACACCGAGAAATGTACTTAAAATTCCTTCACAGGCCATAGGAGAGTGGGGAAAGAAGAGGTTAACATGCTAGTGACAAAGTCAGCTCAGATTCCACTAAGACAAAGAGAAATCACACTTCTAAAAAGTCCCATCTGAAACCACAAAAGAAAAATGGAGCTCGAGGAAAGAATGAAAGAATTTACCCTCCGAGGATGGTTATTTTGTATGTGGAGATCATATGAATTCACAAATGTATTAGAAAGACCATGAATTTCTGGTGCTTTTAAAAAAAATAGCCAGGAACCATGCCTCATTTATGTCAATTCCAATATTCTCCTACAAAAACTGGCCAACAGGAATGCAATAAGAAAAGGTAAAGTTCTACAAACAGTTCTATCCTAAACTAATCCTATGTTGTAGGTACTCTATCTGAACTGCAAGCTTAGATGTAACCGAATTATCTTAACCAACAAGAAAGAGAATGACCTGTGGGTTGTTTTTCTCGTGAGTAAATATTTGGTTTTTAAAAGTTAATCAGTCTGGGTCCCAGATACATGGTTTGACAGGTAGTGTGGTCAGCCAATTCTTCTCCAGTGTGCTAGGCAGCAGCAAGGAAACATCTAGAGGATGGGACTGGAGAACAAATATGGGGCTCTGGAGACATTGATTCATTCATTCACCCAGCCCTGAACTAAATATTTGCTGAATGTGTATTAAGTAGTAGAAACTGTTCTAAAATGCTGTGATTATATAAATCAAAAGTGTGTGAGAAGTTCAAAACACTTAATCTCATGAAATTTATACTCTAGCCAAGGGGAGAGAAAATAAACAAGTAAATGATTTCAGATAACAATATACTGCGAAGAAAGTAAAGAAATGAGCAGCATTAGATAGGATGGGTGATGAAGGCTTCTTTGGGGAGGCAACATTTAAGCTAAGAGCTGAAGAGGTCAGTTCTGTAAATGTCTGGGAGAAGAACTTCCCAGGGAGAGGTAACTGCGCAAGGAAGTTTCTTTTTCTGGTGAAGGAACAAGCTTAAGGCACAGAAAAAGACCAAGACTACTGTCACGGAAGGAACAAAACTTACTCGCTATGTGATCCTGGCAGGTTAAAGTGTCCGAGCCTCAGCACATCCATAAAAACATGGGTCTAATATCACGTGCTAAAAATATTAAATGAGGCAATATGTATGCTTGGCATAGCACCTAGACCATGGTATGAACTCAAAATGGTACCAAAGAACGATGACTATTATGATTTCAGATATACACATGGTTAATGTGTTTTAATGCTTGTTAATGCCTTATCTCCTTTAACATCTGGAAAGAATTAGAGAAAGCAGGCTACAGAGTAGTTTGTGCTGTAAATGAAACTTCCAGAACTCAGGAGTGCTTCAGGTAGGAGTCGCTGCTATTAAACCCATTTGGTCCTTCACAAAACCCTGCTTGAAGCACAACCTCAGGAAGCATTATTAATAGTCAAGGTATATACACAAATAGTTGTAATTACAGAAAATAATGCCTCAAATGTCTTAAGAGAAATACAAGGTACCTTTGGGTCCATTCAGAGAGTCAACCTCATCTGCATCTCCAACTTCCACCTTTACTACCAATCTACCATTCATCGTACCAACAACGTTATTTTTCTAAATCATGGGTCTCAACATTTTACTTTGATGTTTACAATACCTCTTATGTCTTTCCTTTAAATAGCAGGTAAAGTCCAAATGCCGTGGCCTGATGTTTAAACCCATTCCTTTCTGGCCCCAAGCTACACTTCCAATCTCATCTCCTACCACCTGCACTTCTCCCAGATACCTTGTGCTCCAGCCTCTTGGGGCAACATAAGCATGACTTCTTCCCTTCCTATGTCTCCTCACCCCCGAAAGGCCTAGGGGAAGGTTTCCTGCCCTGGAAGGAACTCCTTGACCTTCAGATTCTTACATCCTCATTCTTTTCCTCTTCCGTGGCCCTGCATTTGTATTTTACACAAGGGAAGAGAGTCTAATAAAGGACCTGTATTACAGTGTGTAGCAGAACAGTTTCCCTCCTCTGTCGGACCGCAGAAGCCCTGTAATCATGGATCATTTCTATGCATCTTGATAACCCCAGCACCCGGCATAGCACCTGGGGTGTGACAGGGATAGAAGTGTGTGGATGGGATAGAGGATACAGGAATCCCCCCAAACGGAGTCCTTCTGTTGGGTATCAGGAAAAGTTTCTTGATAAAGAGAGCATGGGGTCTTGAAAAAGAAAACAGAAACTTTAAAAAGGGATAGGATTTTGGCAGGTGAAAATGTCTTATGAGAGGTGTATCTGAATTAGGGTCATTTGCTCAGCCCCATTAGTCCCTGGTTAAAAAAAAAAAAAAATCAAGGTTTAGTTGGTCGAGTTGCGGTATTACGCCCTCATCCACACACCCAGTAGAGAAACACTGCTTGCCCTCAATAGTCCATACTAAAAACTGATTAAGTTTCACAAGTAAATTTTCTCATTTTCAAAGAAAGAATAAGGAGGGGTGCCTGGGTGGCTCAGATGGTTAGGCGTCTGCCTTTGGCTCAGGTCATGATCCCAGGGTCCTGGGATGGAGGCCCGCATTGGGCTTCCTGCTTGGCAAGAAGCCTGCTTCTCCCTCTCCCACTCCCCCTGCTTGTGTTCCTGCTCTCACTATCTCTCTTTGTCAAATAAATAAATAAAATCTTTAAAAAAAAAATAAAGAAAGAATAAGGAGAATAGCTTTCCCTTCATTCTTAACCTCCAGAAATGTTTTATTTTTTTTTTATTTTTTTTTTTTAAAGATTTTATTTATTTATTTGAGAGAGAATGAGAGACAGAGAGCACAAGAGGGAAGAGGGTCAGAGGGAGAAGCAGACCCCCCGCCAAGCAGGGAGCCCGATGCGGGACTCGATCCCGGGACTCCAGGATCATGACCTGAGCCGAAGGCAGTCGCTCAACCAACTGAGCCACCCAGGCGCCCCAGAAATGTTTTAAACAGCAGTATCACCTTAGGTAGAAAGGTTACGAGTAAAAATTCACTGGTTATATTGCTTCAGGCAGACATGTGAAACACTCATTTATTAATTACCATTAATTACGCCAAATTCATTCCGAGCAAGGACAATCTGTAAATTTATAACAAGTGCCAGTGAACACCAACAGGAAGGATGTGAGACGTTTCAAATGGAAGAAGCAGATGCAGACAGGCTCATGGAAGGTGCAGGCAATGGCAGGTAGTTCACGTTTGGCTTGAGGAGAGCATTAATTCTACTTTGGAGCAAGGTACTGAGCAGCTAGGAGCAGCAGAGTGAACTGAACAGAGTCATATGCCATAGGACATGTCGAAATTTGGAAAAACTGGTTTAAGAACCTATTCTGGTGAGCAAGTGGTAGCAAATACTGTGGATAGAAAGCACAGGACAGAGGGGCAGGACACAACAGAGAGCTAGAGTGGTGTCACTAACTAGCTATGGGACTGAGGAAATTGGAGTTAAAACCACCTCAGGGTTTGGGACGCCTGGGTGGCTCAGTCAGTTAGGCATCTGCCTTCGGCTCAGGTCATGGTCCCAGGGTCTTGGGATCGAGCTCTGCATCGGGCTCCCCGCTTGGCAGGGAGCCTACTTCTCCCTCTCCCTCTGCTGTTCCCCCCTGCTTGTGCTCTCTCTCTCTGTCAAATAAATAAATAAAATCTTAAAAAAAAAAAAACACCTGAGGTTTTGCATCTAGATTTGGAGGAAGAGCTTTGCGCCACCCCCAGAAATGGGCAGAGGGCCTTAAGAGCTGGATAGGCCTGTTGATCTTACACCAAGGACCTGGAGGGAGGAACAGGAGAGAGGAAAACTACTTGTGAAGGAAGCGTTAGATAGACTAATTTAGGGTCAATGCCAAGT